TGGATTGTATCTATACATTTTTTTGTTGAATGAATGTCTATCATTTTGGAAAAAAAAACAACCTAAGGTGCATTTTGATTGATTGGCCTATATGTGTCTAACTCAAAAGTGAGAAAAGAATGAGCAATTTAAAAAAAAAAATCAAAAAGTTGAGACGAGAACGAGAATACGAAACTTCAATTCGCTCTTAACATTTCAGACTTTCACTTGGCAAAAAACATTGAATTTGTGGATTTTGGTTTAAGTGAATTGGTAAAAAAAAAGAAAAAAAAGAAAAAAATAAATAAATTGTAATGTGTTATATATTTGTTATTTGATAATGTTGTTTTACATATTTAATTTTCTACTTGAAACAAACATTGTTATTATTTTACTTGTCCCGTTTCACTTAGATCCGAGATCATTTTGTCCTGATCCCAAATAATATCAAGCCATTTGAGATGGTGTGTCCTTCTAAACCATTCTCAACCGATTCATAAAATTGTGATTGACCAAATTTCGGACCGCCTCCGACCATACCCACCCCTATAAAAAAACTGTACAAACATCAAATTTAACAAATGAACCGGCTTTTGTTTTTATTTCAGAAACCAAAAAATCTAGGTCCTTTGTTAAATCTGTTAGCAAGAAGTTAGGTTTTGAGGATAAAGCAGCTTTTGTTGATCCTCTTGGTCTTAGTGGGGGCCTTCTACTCATGTGGACCCCTCTGTGACCATTTTCAAGTTGTTAGTCAGAATTTTTCTTTGCTGTAGAATTCCAAATTCCATCTTCTGATAGACAGTGGGGAGTCTTTGTCTACCTCAGCACATGTAGAGTGCAAATGGCTGAACAATGGGCTGTTTTTGAATCTCTTAAAGAAAGCTGGGGGACTCATTGGTTTATGGTTGGAGATTGGAATGCTCTATGTTCTAGTGAGGAGAAGATTGGTGGCCTGTCAAGAGGCAATTCCAGTTTTTCAGGGTTCAAAAACTTTATCAACAATATGGAGATGGAAGAGGTCAATATAGTTGGGTATCAGTTTACCTGGTGCAACAATAAACAAGATGAAGGAATAGTGGAGGGAAAACTTGATAGAGTTTTTGGATCCATTGAATGGCTGTAAGAATTCCCAAAATGCCAAAGTTCTTAATCTGGTGAAAAGTGCTTCAGACGACTCCTTGCTTCTTCTGGATTTAGGGTCTGGCAACTACAGGAAGAAGAACAGATTTACTTTTGACAAAAGGTGGCTAAAGATGGAGGGCCTAGTAGAGGTGGTGGAGAAGGCTTGGTCTTCTAGGTTTCAGGGAACTCCTTTCTACAGGCTCAAAGAGAAAGTCAAGATCAACAGGCTGGCTTTGCTGAGATGGAGCTCTTCTCATCACACTCAGAACCAGAACAATATTGCAATTCTCACTAAAATCCTAGAGACTTTGAGGGATGTCCAATCAGATTCTAAATGGGAAGAATGGGCTGGTTTGAGAAAAGAGCTGAATCATGCTCACTCTTTGGAGAAATCCTTCTGAAAACAGAAGTCTAGGCTTACACGGTTGAAGGAGGGAGATGGAAATACCAAATTTTTTCATGCTTACACTCAACAAAGGAAGTGAATGAATGCCATTACCAGACTTGTCTCAGCTAGGGGTGAAGAGTTCTGTTCTCAACAGGAAATAGAATCTCATATAGTGGACTTTTATTCAAATTTGTTCTCCTCTGAAGGATCTTTGGGTGGTGACTCAGTCCTACACTTGATTCCTCAATCTATTTAAGAGGAAATGAATCAATCATTGCTCATGCCTGTGGAGAAAGATGAAGCCAAGTGTTCTTTTTAGCCTCCACCCTGATAAATCTTCAGGAGAGGATGGTATGAACCCTTATTTCTATCAACACTTTTTTTATTGATCAATGCTGATTTCTATGCTGCAATCCAGAGTTTTATTGAATCAGGTGCAATCTTACAGTACTGGAATCATACTATATTGTCTCTTATTCCAAAATGTACTCTTCCTGAATCTCTAAACCAGTTTAGACCAATTAGTCTCTGCACAGTGGTCTACAAGGTACTCTTTAAAATATTGGCCCAACGACTGAAACCTTGTTTAGAAAGCTATATCAGTCACTATCAAGCAGCTTTTTTGAAAGGTAGACAATTGATGGACAATGTTATTATAGCCCAAGAAGCTTATCATTTCTTGAACAGACACACTTCTGGTAAGAACTGGTTTATGTCTCTCAAACTTGGTTTGGTTAAAGCTTTTGACAGAGTGGAGTGGCTCAGTCTTAAGCATATTATGATTCAAATGGGCTTCCACAGGGATTTTGTGAAGCTGATTCTTGTCTGTATCACTTCTTCTTCTATTTCATTTAAAGTCAATGGTTTTGTCTGTAGTTTCATCAAGCCTACAAGGGGTATTAGGCAGGGACCCGCTGTCCCTATACCTCTTCATTATTCTTGCTGAATTGCTCTCTGCCCTTATTATGGAAGCTGTGAACTCTGGTCAGTTGTATGGAGTCAAGTTGTCTAGAAATGGTCCTCTTCTCTCACATCTACTTTTTGCAGATGACTCATTGCTGTTTTGTAAGCCTGGTGTGGATCAAGTTGGGGTTCTTTTGAATTTGTTGAATAGATACAGGCTTTTCACTAGTCAGGCAGTCAATCTCCAAAAATCTACTGATTTTTCAGTAGAAATACTCCTTCTTACATTCAGCAAAGTGTTTGTTCTGCTCTTAATGGCATTCTAATCCCACAGATCATCTAGGTACTTGGGTTTACCTTTGGGCATAGGAAGATCCAAAAAGGATGTATTTGCCTACCTGTTGGAATCTTTTCAGAATAAGTTGCAAGGATAGAAATCCAAACTTCTCTCATCTGCTGGGAAGGAGGTACTTATTAAAGCTGTTATCCAAGCTTTGCCAGTATTCACCATGTTCTGTTTCAAGATCCCTCAATCCATATGTAAAGAAATTTCAAGGATGTGTGCTCATTTCTGGTGGAAAACAAATGAAAACAGTACCTCTGGTATTCATTGGAAGAGCTGGTCCAAAATGTCAGTGCCTAAGCTTAATAGAGGCATTGGATTTCCGGATATCCAGTTATTCAACATGGCACTTATCTGCAAGCTGTTATGGAGAATAACCACACAACCTGATCTTCTTGTCAGTAAAATTCTTAAGGACATGTACTTCCCAAACTCCTCTGTCTTCTATATTGTCAAATCTCACAAGGACTCATGGTTGTGGAGGTGTTGGTTGGCTGTTCTTCCTATCTTTACAAATTTTGTGAAAACTGAGATTAGGAATGGCTCCCAAACTAGAATTGCTTATTATAACTGGGTTCCACATTTGGAAAAACCTTATCCTGAGTTGATTGATATTGCTAGAGATCATATCATTTTTGTTAGAGAGCTGATTCTTCCACATGGTCACAATTTGAACAAATGGCTTATTAAGCAAGTGCTTTCAAAAGAAGACAGTGATGCAATTTTGGCTATCAACTCCTTGAATCCTAATGCTCAGGATAGATTGTACTGGAGTATTGACATGAAAGGGGTTTTCTCATTCTCATGCACTTACAAATTCCTTGCTGCACAGAAATTCCTTACCACAGATCAACCTGAAAGTAGCTCCTCAGCTCTGCCAATGAGAAAAACTCTTCAAAGAACTTGGTCTCTGAAAATTCCAGGTAAACTCAAGCTGTTTCTTTGGAAATGTCTCAACGGTACCCTGCCTACTTTAGTCAATCTCAGTAAGAAAAGAATGGAAATGGATATTCTCTGTAAATGCTGTGGGGAAGCACATGAATCAGTGAAACATTTGCTACTCAACTGTCCTAGAGCTAAGAGACTATGGTTCATTGCACCTGTCTCTTGGGATGGATTAACACAGCATACTCAACACTTCAAGTTCTGGTGGCAACAGGTTTGCTCCATAACCACCTCAGAGGTTTCAAGTCACATAATTCAGCTAACTACTTACCTTTTGTGGTGGTTGTGGAAAACTCAAAATTTGTGGATGTTTCATGACTTTCTTGTCCCGATGCACCTCTTGTTAAGATCAGATCATCTCGAATGGTTGGAGTTTTCTTCTATTTCTCAGTAGTGTTTGTTTTGGTTCTAGCTTTTTAGTTTTTGGTTTGGATCAGAGAGTTGATGCTAGGCCTGTGGGCAGTGGCTAGACCTTCTGGTTCTTTGGTGTTGTTTGTTCTTTTTTCTTGAGGCTCTAGACCATCTTTTTAAGATGTGTCTCTCAATTTCTAGTTTTGATTGAGTTTACCCCCCTTGTATTTGAACAGTGTATTTGATCTTTGAGTTTATATTGTCATCTATCATTTCGAGAAAAAAAAAAAAAACCAGCTTAAAAAAGGGCAACAACTTTTAATTTTTTATATTTTTCTTTTAAGCAGTGTTTTTCAACCCGGACCGGCCCGGGCGGGTAGACCCGGGACCCGGTTGACTCGAAGCCAGAACTGGTCTGGGTGGGCTAATTGGACCGGGCAACAAGGGAACCGGTCAAACACGATCAAAACCCGACCAACCCGGTCTTGACCTGGTCGATCAGGTGCATTGACCCGGCTGGGTCAACCCGATCATTATATATATTTTTTATTTGTTTTTGAAAAATAAAAGTCAACCCGGTCATTATATATATTTTTTATTTGTTTTTAAAAAATAAAATTATGTATATATATATTTATATGATAAATATTTATCATGAAATATATATTATTACAACTTTAATATACAAATTTTACATATAAAACATTTAATTTTGTTACTTTATGTATATTTATATGACAAAATACTCTTTATATATAATTTTAAAAATTTTAAAATTAATTATGTGGTTTAATAGTTGACCCGATGATCCGGCGATTGAACCGGTGACACAATGACCCGAAGATCTTTCCGAGTGGGCCGGGTTTGAAAACTACCTTTTAAGCATAAATCGGCTTATTTATCTTTTCCCGCTGCTGAAAAAAAAAAACGTGCTCAAACCAAAAGTCAAAAACCAGATTCCAGCCAAAAATGCCCGACAACCAGCCCCCACCGCTTAAGCCTCCGGCGCCGACGGTCTCGCTGCCATCGAGAAGCTCAGTAGAGAGCCTGTTCATGGGCGGGCCGGTTATCAGCCCGGGCCCGATGACCCTGGTCTCGAGCTTCTTCGCTGATAATGACCCTGACGGCGATTGCCGTTCCTTCTCTCAGCTTCTCGCCGGCGCCTCGTCGTCTCCAGCCGTGGCGCCTAGCATCGGGCAGGATTTTGGGTTTCAGCAGAGTATACCGGCGGGGTTGGTGGTCTCTCAGCCGCAGGGGATATTCGCGATTTCGCCGGGGCCGAGTCCGGCTAGCTTTCTCCATTCGTCAGGGTTTTTCCCATCAAATTCGCAGGTATTTTTTATTCTATATTTCCTGTTCCCAGGTGTTTGGTGGAGTCGATGTTCATAATTTTGTTCGATTTGATGTGATTCTGAGGGCTTCTTCTAGCTGATTGATTTTATTGTCCTTTGCGAATATGCATTTCTTTGTGGTGCTTGCTGTGGAACCGCAGACGGGCGAAATTAGATGGGTTGGTATTATGACCACAAATTAACTTGTTTATATCTTGATCATTCAACTAATTGTTTGATAGGTGAAAACGAAGTTGAAAAATAAAGAGGTTCCTCCCAAGGTTTGTGACAAACTGAAGCAATTTGGACGATGATGGTTAAATATTTTTCTAGTAGAGAGAGAGAGACTTTGTAGTTAATGTGGTAATAATTGTTTGTAGTTACTTTTTAGCTTCTATTTTTATGTATGCCGTACTTTTAAGATACTTAACATACCTGGAAGTAGGAAATGACGAGAATCGTGAGCATTAATAAGAACGTGAGCCGTATTAAGTTGCCTTTCATGGGGTAGAACTAGAAATGAATGTTGGTTTGTCAGGATACTCGAGCAGAAATTTTCATTCTATTATCCTATTATCCTTGATAAATTGTGCACCGGTGAACAAGGAAAAGGGATTGAACTTTCATGTGATTCAGCTTGTGTGAACTTATTAGCAACATTCTTGTTTTGATTAGTTTGTCTAGTTATGGTGTCATTTGGTAGCAGCATATTAGTTGTAAATTTTGAGTTTTATTCAATGCCTCAAAATTTAATCCCGACAATATTCCTCAATGTCTTGGAATTGTCACTTTGGACCTGTTATGACCATTTTTTTTTTTTTATCTTCTGCGTGAAATAGGGTCAGCTAGGAACAGCACATCAACAATTCCTTGCTCAAGTGAATGCTCAGGCGCAACGGCTCATGCACTCCGAATATCCAGCTTTGCAACAGAACATGCCTCCCCCGAACCCAAACTCAGACCATAACACAAATAATGAGCCCAACAAAATATCTCAATCTGATCAACAGAAATCCCAACTTTCCAACTTAAATGTGGATAAACCAGCTGACGATGGATACAACTGGAGGAAATACGGGCAGAAGCAAGTGAAAGGGGCTGAGTATCCCAGGAGCTATTATAAATGCACTCATCCTAGTTGTCCTGTCAAGAAGAAAGTCGAGCGATCTCAGGATGCTCAGATAACGGAGATTATATACAAGGGTCAGCATAACCATCCCCCGCCCAGTAAGCGTGCAAAGGATAACTCTGAATCTGAGGGTCAGACAGGAAATGTGAACGGGGCAAATGAGGGGGTGACTGGTAACAAAAATCAAGAATCTAGTCAAGTTACACCCGACCATGTGTCTGGATCGAGTGATAGTGATGAAGTTGGCAATGATGAAGCTGGAATAAATGGAAGAGACGAGGATGAGCCCAATTCGAAAAGAAGGTAATGCTTTTGGTTTCACTAGGATAGAATCAACAATGACTTAAGGTTTTGGTTAGTTGCCGGAAAAAGAATGAAAGGAAATAAAAGAAAATAACTTCTGAAATTGCATATCCTTAAATATTTTGATTCTTCTTTTTTTTTTTTTTGGTCTTTTTGCACTATGAAAGTAAATAAAAATGAAAAAATTGAATACATAAATGTACAATAAAAGTTGAATAAGATCATTGATAAAACAAAGTATAAAATAAAGAAGAATGACCAAAATTTGATTGAAAAATGAATGTTAATAATTGTAACTCCCTAACATTAGTGACCTTTTAAATTAATTATAGTGTAGGGCATTTTGGCAATCCAATTTTTTTAAGCAACAACTCTCCATTTTAAGAGAGCTATAGATATAGATATAGATTTTCCATGACAAAAACTATACTTTGGATTTGGCCTAATTGCATCCATGCACACAACAAATATGGGAAAGAAAATAAAAGGGATACATTTAACTCGTCTACTTTACAATTTGTACTTCTTGGGAGAATTAGAGGAATGGGTTAATTGTTGTTTGGGAATCTAGCTGGAGCTTTTGTCAATTTCTAAAATTATTGTCACTTACATAAAACTTCTGAAATAAGTACTTTCATCTTGAACTATTGACAGGAATATCGAGGTTCAGCCTTTAGAGCAAGCATCAACACACCGCATTGTTACAGAGCCTAGGATCATTGTCCAGACGACGAGTGAAGTCGACCTCTTGGACGATGGTTACAGGTGGCGGAAATATGGCCAGAAGGTTGTCAAAGGGAATCCTTTCCCAAGGTGAAACATTATTTTTTGAAACCCTTTTCCATGTAAATCCATGACTTGTGGAAATGAGATCTAAGATGATGATAGCAGAATCCAGTTGTTTGGCATTTGCAATGTCGATTGCTATTATTAGCATGGCCTTTTAGTATGAGAATATTTCTATCTAAATACCACTTGACAAGTCATATGGCTGAAGAGTTTACGTATCACAAAATGTTGTACTTGCATGGTATTATTGGTATAGTTACTAATAATATCCTGAACCAGTTCATTAAAACAAAAACCTAGTTAGTTATCTTTCAGAGAGCTATTTACCTTTTGGCATATATTCCCATCATACGAAATTGTGTCCTTAAGAGGATAATCTGTGAGGCTATTTCAAAGTGCAAAAGAATGTTGGTTTTTTATTTAATTATTTATTCATTATTAGATTATTTTATTTTTTTTTTTTTGAAATTAAGTGAGATTATTTCAGGGTGATTTTAATGTTATCCTTTACATGGGGAAGATATTCACAGTTTTGGCTATGTTATCATACAGAAGCTACTACAAGTGCACCATCCCAGGCTGCAATGTTCGGAAGCACGTGGAAAGGGCTCCGAGCGAACCAAAGGCCGTCATTACAACATATGAGGGGAAGCACAATCATGATGTCCCTGCTGCTAAGTCCAGCAGCCATAGCTCCACTGGTTCCACTTCACAGTTGAGATTTAGACCTCCCAACACAATACCTAATACACAAATGAGAAATACGAGAATGGATTTTAGGAACAATGAGCAGCAGCCTCCTGTTGCATTTCTCCGTTTTAAGGAAGAACAGATTACATGAATTTCTGCAAGTAAAACATGGAACACGTACGATAAAATGTCGCTGTTTGCTTGAGCTGTTGTGATCTTGTTCCTGGCTATAATATTTATTTTATGTAATAAATAATATGAAAGATAGGAAATAGAATATACGTGGTGTTCACATTTCACAGTTGAATATAGAACCATTGAGTTTGGATAGGAGTGTTTTGTTTATTTATTTATTTATATATATTTTTTGTTCTGATGGATATGATGATTGTAACATTATGAATTCTTTTGATCTGTAAATTATTTTGTACTGATATTGTCTGATTGTGAAATATTTGTATTTAAAATTCAAGATGTGCAAGTGTTCTAAGTTGAAGTGAAGGTGTGTTGCCTTTGAGAATTTATGCTATCCTTTTCATTTTTCTTCTAGTCCTTCTTAGTTGGATAGTTATGCTATTACAGATTCTTGTGTATTGCACGAACCAACGTTGAATTGTTTGACTCTTTTAAATCGATCGATACAGCAGGTGAGGTTATTCACTCAAATGTTTGCCAATGAAAGAAAAGAACTGTAAGAACCATGAATCAAAGAATTATGACTTATGATGAATGCACATATTTTGTCAACGCTCTTCAACATCACTGATTACTCAACATCAGTTTTTCTGCCTTATTCTTTTCCTTATAACGACATAAAAATGGTCGGCTTCTAAACAGCTTCTCAAGACTCGAATGTACAATTTGTGGAAACAGGTGCTAGTTTTCCTCCCACCTTCATTCATGGTTTTGTGCAACAAGTGTCGGCATTTGGCCCGAATTCACAAAATCTATGTTGTTCAGCCGCACACAGCACAATACTTTCTCGGGCAGTTCATCCGGCGACTGTGCCTACAGTCAGATACAAGCCAATGACCTCGTTAGTTATAACAGAAACATTTATGATTCGATCTTTTTTCTTTCTTTTCGTTCTTTTTTTTTTTTGGCGGTAAAATTTAGACATATGTTTGAATTTAGGAGTCACCTGAATTGTCAACCCCAGGTCAAGTATCCCATGTTTCAATCGTCCTCGAAATGCTTCGAGTCCTTTTCTCGAAATATAGCTGAACCGATGCACATCAAGGTCAATTTCTAAGTAGTTTTGTCCCTGCAAACACCAAGAATCAATTAACTCCAAAAAAAAAAAAAAAAACTCCCATTGATTGGTGTTTCAGTATTTCTGACTTGAAGGAAGACTACACAGACCTTGTAGAAAGCATGTTGTGGACGCGAAAGCACCGGCTTATCTTTGTACGCATTTAAAAGCTTTCTTTCTGCAGAGCTCAAACCGAGGTCTTCAGGATTTACGGGATTGACCATGATTTTTAGCCTCTCCCTGTAAGGAACAACACTTTCCTTTGCAAAGCTTTTCACGCTTTCCGTCTCGTTCGCAATGAACCTCTGCATGGGACAAAAAAAAAAGAATCATCGATCAACGAATTTTGTGATTACATCAAGAAAAAGCGATTTTCGGCCTTCGACTAGAGACTGAGAAAGGAAAGGAAAAATGGTTTTCATTACCTTCAAGGAGTCTAAATATCTAGGACAAGTTTCTTTATCAAAATCTTCAGACAATCTGAAATATATTACAAGGCTCATCCCCTCCCCATCACTCTCTCCAAGAAATACTGAAGCTGGATAAGTAGGAAGCTGCAGAAAAATAACAATAATAAGATTTTTTTTTTTTTTTTTTCCATGATATTAAGGAGAAATTGCAGTTACAGCCCAGAAGCTTAGCTTAACTACAAAAGTACCCAAATATCTTCCAAATGTGCCATATTACTACTAGTAAAAACTGATTAAGATCAAACCAGACATAAATAGACACCTGAATATTGACAATTAGAAGGGAAGGCACTTGATGGTGTGAATTTACACATGGAAGCTCAATATGCTCTGCAATGTGATTTATCTTTCGAGGGCAGGCGAATAAATCGACACCGATAGGTACATAAGGGCTATAATCAGCAGCAGGATATTTCTTTTTATCCCTGCATAAACAAATATGTATATATTATATAAACAGCTAAATAAATAAAACAATAATATAAATAAACAGTAACTCGAAAACATGCCTGAAATAATTCTCTCCTCTCAGCTTAAAAGCAGAAGGTGGCACAGGGCACCAGCAGCCTGGAATTGGCTTCTCAGCTGTTGATGGTGATATAACGACCCCAGCTCTCGGTTTATCGTTGGCTTTTGAGCTTGGAAAATAAATGTCTTGTCTTTTCCTAGCGGAATGCGCATAGCATAATTCGTCAAATTTTTTTATTCCCTCGAGTTTCAAAGCATCTCTTGTTTTACTTGAATCGATTCGACTGGAGTGGTTTTTAGGGGATGAGTAGCTCTCGGTTGGAGTGCCTAATGTTGTGTAAACATCTGAAAAGGGGGGGAAAAATTGAAAATTCTCTGAGAACGAGTTTCACCAATCAATAAATTAGTAAAATTTGAATCAGAATATGAATATAGACGAAAGTTACCTCCCCCGATGCTGATAAAATCTTCATCTGTATCGGAATCGAGGACGCTTACTGAGTCGAACCACTGTTCCTCTTGCAGTATTCCTGATAATAAACAAAAAATAATTTTAGACAAAAATAATATTCATGAGAATAACTACTAACAAGAGCAAAAAACATACCGTTTGAAAAAGATCGGTTGTCATCGTCTTGCGCCCGAGAAAGAACAGAGGCATTTTGAACCTGAGACCTCTGGAAAGTTGCTGTCTCGTCATTTTCGATGCTGGTAAATTCAAATTCACGGGCAGAAAAGTCACCACCGTAAATTTCTTGAACTGTAGGCACAATCAGATTCGATGGAGCTATCTTTCGACGAAACCTGCATGACTTGCAGAAACTCTTGGCCTTTGATTTTAGCTTCTTGTTGGGCTTTGAGACACAGACACCCATTGTTCAAATATGACTAAAATATCATGAATCCCCGGAAGAGAAATAACGGCCTTCGTCTTGTATATTTCGTCGACTCTACAACAATCTAACAGAAAAAAAAAAAGGATAAAATGAGCATCTAATTTCAAGTGGATTCAAATGTAAGGTGGGTTCTTGATCGAGTTAGATCAAACACGACGATTTTTCGTGTAAACTAACCGACACAGTACAGAATCAACACATGAGAATGCAAATAAGTGCAGCAAGATATATCATCATTGGAATTTCCAGAATTGTATAAGAAGTTTACATGGCATTAAAACTATTTGCAGCAAACTCCAGAGCAAGAACAATGAAACAATCAAGAATTACTTGCAGCAAAGTGAAATGTGAGGCAAGAACATCAATCACCAAGACACAAAACAATACAAGCTTATCTAATTCAACCTGAGAATTCATCATGTCTAAATAAAAATTATATATATGAATTTAAATAACTTGAAAAGGACCTGAAATATGAGCTCCCAAAAAAAAAAAGAAATTAGAATAATAATAATAATAATAATAATAATAATAATAATAATAATAATAATAATAATAATAATAATAATAATAATAATAATAATAATAATAATAATAATAATAATAATACAAATTCAAGTATACCTGAAGATGGCCTCTGGCATAGAACTTATCTGCTCATAGAAATTCAAACCTAAAATCTATAAACAACTTAATGCCTAACAATATATTATAGCCCACAAGAGGTGTGATTGGAGGAAAAAAAACACAAAATTAGCTTTGAGTGGGTGCACATCAAACTAAAAATTATGTCACCTAAGTATCTTATAAGCCTAATTTCTTTGACTAGTAACAAAAAAATATGAACATCTACCCACCAAATCAAGTATGTAGAAATAAAAAAACACACAAAATATATATATTTTATTTAAAATAATAAAATTGTGTTTAAAAGTACAAATGACTTTCTCCTTTTAATATGAAAAATTTGTCTTCTTTCACTTGAATGGGACCTCAAATTTGTAGATGAAATGGTATCACTCAACTTATATGGGGTTGATTTAAAAAAAAAAAAAAAAAAAAA